ACAGCTTATCCTCTCAATCATGACCAACATAAAGCTGTATCATTTTCATCTTTTATCCCTCGTCATTCTTGTCCTAGTGTCACGTGATTGTTTTTAACTCTATACAATTTTCAATAATCATTTATATTCAATAATATTACTAATAAGGACTATTACTATTTCATAAATAGGATGGAAAATCTTTCCTGATTCCTACTTCTGTAAATATAGAAAGAAAAAACTGGCAAAAAGACACATAAGTAAGAGGAATAGAACTATCCACAGTTTATATATTTATAACAGCACAAGAATTCATAGTGCCTACTGAAAAATCACAGCAGTACCTTGTGGAATGTTATGAAAAACTCATGTTTCCCTTTTCTAAGAATAAAACATGCTATAACATTTCCCAGCCAGAAAACAAAAAATGTGGCAGAAAATATATTGCTAGTTCTATGAGCAGTTAAAATCTACGCAGACAGAAAACTTCAAACAGACTTGTAATGGTCAAAGTAGACAGCAGTCAAGCACCACGTGGTCCTCAAGAAAGCAGCAAATTGGATTTCTATACCAGTGCTCCTTCCAGGGGCTTCAGACGTTACAATGTCTTCATTAATTATATGCAAAACAATGCAATAAATAGGGAACAAAACAACAAGCAATTTGGGATAAAAAATTTTAAGTGTCATTATTGTCTATCAGTCTTTAGTAGTTTTCATTCATTATAATAAATCAGCACCACACCACAGGATCACCAACCCAATCATACAAACATTTTGCTTTTGGACTGATCTGTGTACTTATATTTTGGGCACACAGTTATCATTTATACTTTTATTCCTTTAACAAGGTGGTGATGAGAGGACGGAGAAGATCACAATAAATGTACAAAAAATAAAACAATTTAAGGACACAGAATGCTGAATGAGCGAAATGCAGTAGAGGGAATAAATACAGATTTTTTTCCTAGATATTGATTATTATTAGCTTCCAATTTCACTACATTAAAGCAACGCTTTTAAGATCTTTTGTATTTTATGAAACTATACTCTCATTCAATGTCAACTTGCCACCAAGTCACACATTTTTCATTTCTTAGTTTGTTCTGTTCTAGTTTCTATGCTGAGTTCTCTGCTAGGTTTAGTGAAAAGTTTAAAAGTAAATAAGACTGGAAAAAAATTTCCAACAGAAATTTTAAAACTTTTCTTAGAGGAACTGTGCTTTGCAAAGTGGTTACTTCTCACAAAAGGATTTTTCTTTTCTCATCATAATCCTAGATAGAATTACCATATAAAACCAGTCAAAAGTTTCTCAGACAAGCCAGCATTTCTCTGAAGAAGAGTATTTCTTTATAGAAAAATCTTTGCAGTCATTTCTAGTAAAGCAGAAGTCCTCTGCAGCCAGATGCACAATGTGACTGTCTCTAAGTGAGGTAGACCAGGGAGTGTTTCATCTTGCAAAACGTTACACTTCTCCCAAGGTTTATGAATCACCAAACACTGCCTACCGCAGAATGTTGGTATCTAAGCAATGTCAGCGCTGCTGGGCTTGAAGAAGAGTTAGAAAAGTGATGATGAGTAATATTGAACATATTAACCATGATGCCCCTGTTTACTGATGTGGTCAAAGAAGTGAGCTAAGCTTGTTTAGCTTCTGAACACTTGGCATACTTTTAAGCCTGGTGCGTGTTCCCCAATCTTCCTGTCACACTATGCATCCGTTTTGATGCCTGCTGCCTCCTAACTTCTTGCATGCAAGAGAATCACTTTTGACTACCTCAACACTGTTGCCACCATCAGGCAAATGTCTGTTTCGAGTCATTTTGTTTCTTCCCAAATATGTTGGCCTCCTGTGGTATTTGTGTTTATAATTATACATATGTTTGTATAACAAAATGACATTAATTTCAATTCTATGTAATATTTCATTCTAGCTAAATTTTGCAAATAATAGTTACTTACAGGAGAAAAGAATGAGAGCCGTTATTCTATGAGAAATAATTTTAATGTCTTTAAAATGACTTCATAAAATCAAGTATTAAGAAAGTAACCACTGTCAAGTTAATTGACAGGTCAGGAGAAATGATCACAAAATCAAAAACAGTGTACATGAACATTGCCTGCCAAAAGTCTTTCAAATTTCACTATTGATTGAGCCCCTTAGTAAATGTGAGGTTTATTCATGAAAAATCAGACAAAGCTTCAACAAATGTAGCAGTAACTTGTATTTCATTAAAAACAAGAATGACAGGAATTGGAGATTTGGTTCAGTGGCACAAACACCTGCCTGGAAAATGTGAGGTCTTGAGTTCGATCCCTGGTACAAAAAAAAAAAAAAAAAAAAAGTTAGAATGACGAAAAGATTTTAAGAAAAATATACATTTATATATAGTAGGTGTGTGTCATTTTAAGTGATTGTTTAATTTTTTAGATACTAATGGATCACCAACCTGAATTTTATTGATTTGTATTATTTCCAATAATCAGCATTGCTTTTGAGTTTGGGAGGAATGTATGAAGGTTTAAGAGCACAGTGCATAAGCAGACTTTTTATTCCAACTCTTGCTTGTATAGGTGTTTCTCTTGACTAAGTTTTTCATTTTGCTTTACTGATTTCCTATTTTGCACCAGAAATAAAGGAAACTCACATGGACACTGAAGATACAACAAATTAACATAAATTTTAAGGCTTTTAGAAAATTAATACTCTGAAGCACAGTTCCTTCATCTATAAAATTACAGAACACTACAAAAAATTGTTTGGCTATTATCAGTGTACCTTCCATGAAAACTCTAGCATGCATGAACATACATTTTTTAATTCCTAAATAAATAACTATAGATATAATTATTAAGCATTGAATTGGTGTTCATTTATCTTCATTAGAAACTGTCAAGCAGCTTTCCTAAGTGGTAGTACCATTTAACATTTACATGAGTTGGACCAAGGATTTAGCTCAGTGGCACAGCACCTGCCTGGCAAGTGCAAGGTCTTGAGTTCAATCCTTGTTACCAAATAAAAAATAAAAACTTGCATGAGTGTATCAGAATTTCAGGTGTTCCCATCATACCTACACTTGCTGTTTTTAGATATTTTAATTGAAGTTCTTCTACATACTGTATTATGTACATACATAATTATTCTGTAATTTTAGAATTACAGAATAAAGCAATTATTCTCTAATTTTACTAAATTACTATTATTCTAAATACTAAATTACTAAATATTAAATACTAAATTCTAAATACCGAATTACTATTATTCTGTAATTTTAACTTATATTTCCCTAATAACTAATGACAATTTACATATTTTGTGTTTGGCCACTTCTTTTATTCAATGTTTGTTTTCTGTTTCTCTATTAGATTGTCTTTAAATTATTAATTTTTCATGGTTATTTATATATTAGATTTTAGTTTTTGGAAGATATTATGTTGTGAATATCTTTTCTTAGCTCTGGTTTCTACTTTTGCATGCCTTTTAATGAGGCTATTTTAATTCTAATAAATTCCAATTTATCCTTACAAGGGTTATTGAATTAATGACTGCATTTTAGGAATCTTTTATTTTCCTTTTTACTTAAGGGAATCAAACACATGAGCTCATACTAGCCAGGCAAGCAAGCACTTATGCTGCTGAGATAAATCCCCTGCCCCAGGAATCCTATATTTTGATTCTTTCATTTTTTAAAACTTTCCTTCAACTTCATGTTGGTCTTTCTGGCACACATTCCCATAGGACATTGCACTGTCTTTGTACTGTTTATAAGATTCATCTTTATTTATTTGTTGCATATTTTCTTCCACCTAGAGAATGAAAATTTCACAAATATAGAACTTGCTTTTCACAATTTCAGATTTATTAAAAAGTATTAGAAAGTATTTTGTAAACACATATTGCTTGCTAGAAAAGCAAAGGGCAAATTACTTTGATCACTTTATCACAGATGTTATAAAATTACTCTTTAAAATCATGGATAAAATAATCCACAGACATGCACACAGATAGACGTTCACTATTAATTCCAGCAAAATTTGTTTTTGTTCACTTTACTAATATCATTCAGTATTTCTTTAAATGTATAAAGTTTCTGTGATCGGCTCAAGAGTTCCATAACCAACTTTCAGTGAGAGTGACACAAAGCTTGTTTATTTAAAAAACATCCTTAGGGGCTGGGGACTTAGCTCCGCGGCATAAGCGCCTGCCTTGCAAGCAGGCAGTCGTGAGTTTGATCCCCGGTACCGATAAAAAGGAAAAAGACAAAAATAAATAAATAAATAAAAAGTAAAAAACATCCTTCTGCCACGAGCAATTATGTGGTATATGCCTGTAATCACAAGACTTTTCAACGGAGGCAGGACAATCACCACACAAAGCACAGCTTGGGCATTTACTGATTTACTAAGACCTGTATCAAAATAAAATATATAAATAAATAAATAATAATAGGCTGAGGAGGTAGTTCAGGAAAACCCTGTATTAGATCCCAGTATGGAAATGAACAACAACAACAAAAATTAATCCTTTAAAGATAAAGTAAAATACAGTAAATCTAGATGAGACTTCTAGAAGCTTTTGTATCATCCCCAAAACATCTGATAACATTTGTGAGGTACTATTAAAATCATCTGCTCCAAGACTCTTCTTTGACTAAAGAAAATACATCTCTACATACTCTCTATATAAACAGATGATATTATTTCCCACTACTCAAAACACTGTTCCTTGACACTGATACATGCCTAGAAGTGTGTTACATACCTTCGGAGTATTTGCATTGACGCCTCCTAGACAACTGAAAGACCCTGGACTTATCACTGTTACATAGTATTTTTCTTTTCTTTAGAAAATAAAACATGCTTAGGGAACCGGACTTGGGATATCTTAGAACAGAACTGGATGTTTTATTAATTCCGATTAGAAACTAGGATCTAACACAGAGCTTGGCACATAGTAGTCATTAAATAAATATTTATTAATAAACCAACAAAAAGCAACAAAAGAATCAAGAGAAAAACAACTATAGTAAACAAACTTTATTGAGTAATCCAAAAACATGACTCCCCTTTTAAAAAAAAAAAGTATAAACCAAATTCTAGCCTCCAGTTAATAAAATGAGGCTTTTTTTGAGTAAAAACTCTGACTAGCCAGAACAGTTCTTACAGCGCTGGAGACCGTTCTCGTTGCAAGCTGTACACTTCAGAGCTTTGAAAGAGTCTGTGAAGCAGTTTCGAAACACTGACATCTTGCTCCCATGGCACACGGAGCACGGAAGAAAGCCAAAGCCTCCACAGGAGGGACACTCGTGTGGATGCTGCACTCTCTGTGTGACAGGAAAAGGGAGGATACAAATCCGTTAGTATGAGCAGTCCTGTCAGTCTTGTTCTCTTTCTGTACTGTGAGTATTGTAAAGCAATTATGGCATACTGTGACATGGCTGTGCACTTAAAACCACCTACTATTAATACACATTGGACTTAGGGGGAAAAAGTCCTCCATCACTGCACCATGGATGGCCGTTATAGGAGACTTAGGCTGTAAAAGCTGGTAGGTGCTATATTAAATGGCATTTGCCTTCAAGAATTCCATCATATTTACCAACCAGTAATTCAGGAGATGGTTATTTCATTAAAGAAAAATACTTTCTTTTCCTTTTATACCTCTTAAGAGCTTTATGTGTTTGTGCAGAGAATAGGAGCTCTCATAGCAAATTTGGAAAATCAGAAAACTATAAGCTAGAGTCTGAAGGAACCATTATTTTCTGAAGATCCATCATTATATTGCCAATTTGAATAACGCTCTATTCTTTTCAAAGCACTTTCAGATGCGTTATTATGTAAAATGTTCCCCTACTCCATCATCAACACAGTCATCTTTTTCAATAAAGACATAATTCAAGCTTCATTATCCTCATTTTATACTTAGAGAAACAGGCATAGAAATCTTGAGACATTAATGTGCACGCATAAAACTTCCCACAATAAATCCCAAACTTTCTACCTCAAGCAAAGATAAAGTATATCTAATAACAGAATGAAAACAACTAGGCAGTGAGTTGGAGATAACATTTTGGAAATTGTTTACATGTATTTTTATTTTCATTTTGGAGCATGTACCGTTTGTCAGAAGCCAAGAGTGTTTTCTATCAGAGCAGGGAAAATTTAAAACCATTATAGAGAGAACACAATGAGACAAAAGGTGAGTTGATATTAAACTTCTGACTTGCCAAAAAGAAGCTGTAGCAATGTTTAAGAGCCCACTTTGTAGAAAGAATAACGACTAGAATATGACTGGGGAAGGAGGTATACACAGAAGGGCACAAAAGCAAAAAGACATTGTACTTAGGGAAACATGCTTAACACACTTATACACACATACAAATTTTCTCTAGGGGTTCATAATTCAAGTTAAAGTCTTCAAATATTTCAAGGGAAAAAGAACCTGATTAACTGGACTTAACCATAATAACTAAAAGAACATTCTCCTTCAAAAATAAATGTTATTCTCTCATAAGTAACTAGATGTGGGTGTGCTTTGGATAACAAACTTTCAAAACACATTGACTTAAATTTATATATTCCCAGATCATTTTTCAGACATTCATTTTTTTTGTATGTAGCAAGATTGCCTTACAATTATGGCTTGGCTTAGCTATTATATAAAATATGTCATTTTTAACAGTATAGAAATGGTTTTGATGAAAAGTTGTAGTTGCCAATCTGAATGATACAAGATTGTAGAAATTCAAAATTCTCCCCAAAAGAAAACTCAAATGTATGTAGAAATGTGGTTATTTTGTAGTTGGGTTTAGATATTGAGCTGTATAAAATTGACCTCCAGCAAAATTGTAGTGGCCTTAAGTAAATATTTTTAATATTAAAATGTCTTGAAAATTTTGAAGTAGAAACAAACTAAATGATGAACAAATACTCTTTAAAAAACAAATATATGAAAATTATCGAGAAATGGTATCAATTTTTAGAAAGAAAATGATAGATGTATGAGATCACTAAATCCCAAACACTGGGTTCCATTAAAACTGAGTAATCTGCAAAATAAGCATACCAACTAAACAGAACACATGTTGGTCCAGCCGGAAATCAGGAACAAGGGACCCTAAGACCACTGAGTCCATTTCTTCATTTATTGCAGCTGGATTGTGACTAGTTCTATGTTCCTACTAGAACAGAATTGTCAAATGTTGCAAGTAAAAAAGGCAAGATGCTAAGTTAAATTTGAATTCCAGAGATACCACAAAGAATTTTTTGTAGAGTTATATAGCAAATATGATATCAGATATTCTTTTTTTTTTTTATCGGTATCGGGGATCGAACTCACGACTGCTTGCTTGCAAGAAAGGTGCTTATGCCGCTGAGCTAAATCCCCAGCCCCTATATCAGATATTTTTAAACTGAGAAGTTATTTATAATTTATATTAGATCTAAATGTGAGCAGGAATCTTGTGTTTTTTTTTTTCAGTTACATTTTAGGGCAAGAGCTGGCAGGCTGGAGGAGGGTGTTTGTGCAGGTGCTATTTTTCAATCAATATGAATTAACAAGTATCTTAGTAACCAGTACAAATATGTGTTAGTATTTAAGCATTATGCCAGTGCTGAGCTGTAATAATGCACAATGAATGAAAATCCAACTCCCACTATGTCCCAAAACACTTGCAAATGACCAAGTTTTTTACTAGTATGTGACTAGCATAAAATATATTGATGATGACAAAAAAGGAATAACCACTCTAAAATAAAATGTGAGTGCTAGGCAGCTTCTTAGGCTCATTGTCTACTTACACCACTCACCCCAAACACCAGGCTGTTAACAAGCAGAGGAAAAACAGCAAATAATGGACAAATTTAAAAATTATTTTATATGTTGGACCTTCCATATAACTAATAAAGACTTTTTAAAGGGCAAAAATGCTAAATGTTAAAGCCAATGATACCAATCAACTGCTTCATCATAATTTATCCAAAAGTCACAAAAAACTTTCCTGAAGTAAATTACTATAACAATACCAAAAAATATATTCTTATATTTCAGCAAAGTCACAAATAGATCAAGACCATTCTGGAATCATGTCTCCAGAACCCATGCTTCTAAAATGAAATGTGCTTTTTACTCAAAGAATTATTTAAAGGATTAGGTTAATTCTTTCACATTGACTAGAACATTGCCTGGCTCATAAACCCATTTGGTACAATGAGTCATTGTTGGTCATTATCTCATTAATAAATTGCTATTTACTAAGTCCCACCTCAAGCTAAATTGCTCATGGTTGCATGATGCAGTCTTTTTCTATCATTGTGAGTTACTCGCTTTCAGCATATCTGCCTCTGGCCTTCAGGGTTAAGGTTTTGTTACTGTCAGAAGGGGAGGACAAGTATGCTTTAATTCATGTGGCAGTTCAGATGTTTAGAGCACAATGTTGGAAGAGTCTGAGATTATGTCTCTTTTCAAGAAAAACTAACTCTTCTAGCCACAAGTGAAGTGAAAGAAGAGGGTGGCATATGTAGCATGTACAGTCTATGTCCCTTCTCTCATTGATCTGATTTGATTTTAAAAAGGATCAAAAACCACCCTCTTTTTATAGCTCTTTCAGTTCATAAAGTCTTGATGAAGGGCTTAAAAATACTCAAAGAGTGACCATTTTACTTATCAGTTCGTTATACAAATAACTATTGAGTGTTCACTAGCCAGGCAATGAAGGAAGTAGCAATAATATAGTAAACCAGAAACGTCCTTGTTCTCCTAATAGTAGTTCCCAGCCCCACACCTAGGTTTTGAAATTCAGTCAGTCCATTCCAGCCATCATCTTGAACTTAGCATAATTCCCAGGTCTCTAACAAAAAATCAAGAGGACAGGAAATGAAGGCAGAAAACAAGAATGATTGTTGAATCAATCATTGTTGAATGATTGTTGAATTACTTCTTTTGTAATACTAGTTCAAATTTTAGGAATATTCAGAATTTATCCCAGGTCATTTAGTATAAAAACAGAATGCTGAATTCAAAGGTCTTTGTATCTTCTTCAAGATCAAAGAATAAAACACTTATTAATATAACCCTCAAATCATCTAGCCCTACTTCTTAGGCATTTTCTCTCCACTGAGACTCAACACCAGACACCCACTACTTAAAGGAGAGATTTATCTTGACTCACATTTCAGTCCGTAGTTGACTGACTCCCAGGCAGAACACCATGCCAGAGGGTCATAGCGGAGGAACGGCTGCCCAGTGCATGGCACCTGGACAGCAGCGAGTCAAGGTCAGAGTCAGAAAGGGAAACAAATGCTTCCAAGTCACAGCTACAGTGATCACATCTTCTATCCAGCTCCTCCTCTCTAACAAGAGTTCAGCTTCCTTAGTGTTTCTTTGCCTTGTAAGAACTTATAATCTATCATCTACTAAATGGTGGGACAACTAGCCTCTCCCTGGCTCTCTTTGCATGGACACAAATAAGATCAGCTATCCATCTTGGTTGTCCTTTCTGGAAAACTCTTAGGTGTGTCTTTGCTTCTAATCTCTAGCCTGTTTATTTAATATAAATGAATACAGAAATAAACAAAAGTAAATAAAATTTACTAAAACATGTCTTTTTCACTCAAGCATTCTTATAAACAAAATAATTCTCTTTCTCTTTTCTTAGGAGCATTGCCTCCTCTAAAATCCTTGGATGAAAGAGGATAGACTCATCTATTCACTCAATAATATTTGAATGTTCATTATGTGCAAATACTTGTTCTAAACACTGGCAATGAACTGATAAGAGGCTGAACAAAATAAATAAGAATTTGTTTCTACATGGAGCACATACCCTGTTTTGGAGGATGATCTATGAACTGATTTCTCAGGAGTAGAGTGCCTATTGTCACGGTCAGACTATGGATCCAACTATCACATGTTTCTCTGGTCCTGCTGCCTTTAGATAGTTTCTCATATCTGAAACCACTGACAGTCTTCATCAGCAATTTGCATCCTTCCCAGAGCAAATTTTCTATGAGCAGGGTATATACTGGAATCTTGACCCAGAAAAAGTATAATTACTTGCTTACTCCACCTCTGATGTTCCAAATACAAGTGCCGAAAGCCTCTTTCTTCACCATCAGTTTGAATAACTGGAAATCTGGAGCCTGAATTGTTAGAACCTGAGGTGACTATAGACTGCCAATGTGATTCGCAAATCAGACAAACTCAAAGTAAATAAGATCTAGCTTTTCTCTGACATTATCACTACTGGCACTCTTTCAGGATGCCCCAATAATATCAGAGTCCAGTATTAAAACCTAGTCTACCCTCTGGACCTACTACATTTTTTACTTTCTAGTAAATCTCTCACATAGACAATACATACTGACATGACAAATTTTTCAGACACCTGTAAGTCATTTAATTTGACAGCTATGACAACATAGCTCATGTTTAACATCATGGACTTTGGAAGCTGTTTAGAGTAATAAATTAAACACGTTCTGTAATATCTTGAGCAGGTGATTTAATCTCTTCAATTTCTCTGCTTGTAAATGGAGGAAATAATAGAACCAACTTAGCAGAAGTACTCTCAGATTTTTGTCATTTAATGTGTTCAGGACAACAAGAATAATACTTGCTACACATTAAATGCTCAAATATTTCCTGCCTTATGTATATTTAACTTCTACTCCACTGTCAAAGCCAATCAGAAATATGAGATTGTTAGAATTTGAGTCTTACATCTCTTATCCACTTTACTTAGCTTTTCTCATGCTTCTCCAGATACAATCTCTTTGTTTTAGTTTCCATTACGCCTATTCCCACTCTCTGGCAGAATTCTGGCTTTCTTGGGTGGCTGCAAATTCTCTACCAGCTTTATTACGTGGTCAAGAAAACCCAAAATAATTACAGCACCTTATAGTTCTTATAATACAGAAACAGTATACCACTCTTTAGAAAATTAAGAACAGCATCAAATATTTGCAACTTATTTACACTATCTATGAAAAGTTCATAAAAATGTTTTTCCAAACTTGTTTAAAACTCAGCAACAAATTGGTTATGTTAATCTAGTACGACTTTAATTGCAGAGTTAAAAGAATTATGGACTCTGGAATAAAAAGCTCAGAATATCTGAAACAATGTCAGTCTGTAAAAAGGAAAACAGTAAAGCTCATTTATCCTACAAGAATCTAAAAGTTACTATCAATGTATAGAAATAAACAATATAATATCAGCATGATAGGAAACTAATCAATGGAACTGACAAGAGACCACAGAGAAAGACCCAAGTATATACGAGGATTTATTGTAAAGTAAAAATAGCTAAATAGTAAAAAAATAACAGATTGCTTGATACTGTTAGGAAATGAGTTCACTATATTTAAAAAAACAGAAGTCTGTTTCATATATAAGGACTAGATATGAAGACACTTAGGAAATTAATAAAATATAAGACTCTATTAAGATAAAAGGATACTTCAAAAGTGCAATAAGCACAAAATATAAGAGAAAACCAAAGTATCTGATTGTATCTCACTAGAGACTTTTTATTGAATGAATGGCACCATGAAACAAGATAAGAAAGAGGTAGAAAATATTAACATTCACTAAAACCAACTGGAAATTAATATCTAGAACAGAAAAGGATCATCCTACTGTTAACCAAAAAGGAAAAAACAAGACAATTCCAAATTTTTAATAATCAAGTAATCAGAATGCACAATGTACAGAAAAGGAAATGTAAAAATCGAATATGTATATAATGAGATGCCCAAATTCAATACAATAATGTAAATTAAAACCAGTAAAGTAATATACCTCTATCTATTACACTGGCAAGTTGGAAAATAAGATAATGTAAGATGTTTCTAGTAATGTGGGAATATAAGAAACCTGTTTAAATATAGGAGGATTGGGGCTGGAGATTTAGCTCAGCGGCATAAGTACCTGCCTTGTAAGCAGGTGGTCGTGAGTTCGATCTCCGGTACCGATAAAAATGAAAAAAGACAAAAAAAAAAAAAACTAATAATAAATATAGAAGGATTGGTTGACTAGTACAACCATTTCAAATAGTCAACTGGCGCAAAATTAACGCCAATATCCAGTGATTTCTATCATCAGAGAAATATATAAGGAATATATTCAAAATAGTTCCTTACAGAAATGTTTGTTTGACAGATAGACTTGAAGAATACCTGGGGTGGGCATCTCATTGTATGCTCATTAGATTTTACATTTCCTTTGTGTGTTCTTATTGCTTGATCCTTAAAAATTTGAAATTATCTTTTATTTTTGGTTCACTTTAGGATGATCCTTTTTCAGTAGAAAACTAAACAGGTTAAAAAAATAGTGGATGGGCACAATAGAACCCATAGTACTATAGAAAATTTAAATAAATTAAAACAAAATACAATTACAAATTCAGTAACTTAGTACTTCTAGTTATATTTCAAATGCTCAATAGTTGCTGGCAGCCAGTGGCTATTATTCTGGAAAGTTCAAACAGAAAACAGTTCCATCATGAAACAAAGGTCTGTTAGGCAATGCTGCCCTGGAAAAATATGCAGTAGTTTGAAAAAAAAACAGTTAAATGTTCACATAGTAATATAGATGGTTCTTTGAAGTACAATCTAGTGAAAATATTTTGAAACCAAAGTAGATATATTATATAACATAATTTACATGAATTTCAAATGTGTACAGAAGTTAATAAAATATATTTACCAAGTTAAACGGTTTAAATAAAAAGACACACATTAACCCAAATTAATGTTTTCATATGATTGAAGCAATGTGTGGGAGTAGAAGAAAAATTAATCCATCCAGATGCTTTTGCTAATAAGAAATTTAAACTAAAAAATATAAACTTTAATTTAATAGATGAAAAAAATTAAGGTCTAAGAGGGAAATGTACCCAAAGTCACACAGAAACTTGTGGAGTTGCGATCACAGCTCAAATCCCCTTGTTTTTAAGTCTAAATACTTTATAAAATGTAAATTGTGAAGATCAAGGAAAGCTAAGCCACTCTTATCCAAGCAGATTAACTCTAAAAGCCTATACAGCTTTTGAAATTAGAAATCTAATGATCGTCTATTCTCTTCCTAGATCCCAGGGACCTTCCTCCTTCATAAACGCTTTTCTGTCATCTTCATTGGTCCACAGGATCAAAGGCGATGCTATGGTTACTATTAAGACACAACCTAATATAAAATGTATCTGAATTATCACTATATTCAAGTCATTCTCTGAGAGGCCATCATTATCTTCCTTAGTAGAGTAGCTGTAAATAGTAGATACTCAAAAGTATCTGCTGAATGATTGAATACATTGTGTTTTTCTCCCAGGAAAGATCACAATACAAATAAAACATGATTCTTGCAAACAAGGAACATGTAGTATATTATATGAATTGCATACACAAAGAAAGGTTAAAAAAACAGAAGACTTCAATAAGCATCCAGCAAAAAAGATTATAGGTACTCAAAGGTAGAAGAGATCACAAATTACTTTTTGAAAAGCAATGTTGCAGATAGCCCTTGAAGATGGAGAAGGATGATGAACTGGAAATTAACACCCTCAAGGACAGCTTGTATAAAGGAATGGTAGTAACAAAGCACAAGAAATCTTTTATTTGACATTCAAGGCATGACAGAGAGAAATAAAGCTAGCAAAGCAGGTTATATCAACAAGAGTTGCTAAGTCAGTAATAACCTATAGATACAGAGTGACAACATAGTCAGCCCAGTACCTGAGGAAACCCTGTTTCATGCTTGTTGGCCCATTTCTAATGCACACTTTTCGCTCTCAGTGTGCACACTCCAGAAAATATGGGATATCTATATATATGAAGAAACACACTGGTTCAATAATCAAGAGAGCAATGTAGCCTTTCTTTTCTGGTCGCACATTAATTTGATGCATTGTATAACTGAATAAGTAATTCTCTGATGCTGTAATTATAAGCATAGGGATAAAAATTTAAATATACTTTTTGGGTAAATAACTCTTATCCCCTGATATTATGGGAAAAATTATATAGTTTCAGTGAAAAAAATTTAAGTGAAATTCAGTGAAAAAACTTTAAGACAGTTGCTTGACTTGTAACATCTCATCAACATTTCTATTACACAGAATTAGGCTCTAATAAAGATAAGCCAAGTTTTCAACTAATAGTATGAGGTAGTTAGAAACTAACATTAAAATCAGTCTGACTGGAACAAACCTAATGGCAGGTGACTTCCAATTAAAACTGTCATGTTTCCTTTATATATTTGTAAGAACATGAAAGAGAATTTCAATTCGGAAAAGTCAATTACAATAAGAATGCATTTAATGTTTTGATTACTAAAAATAAGTTGCTAAAAGCACAATTACCTCAATTTTGGTTAAGAGGTCTTGCAATTCTCCTGATTCATTCATTGACAAAATTTTCTCAGCACCCTATTAACAAAAGAGAATAGAGGAGGAAAAAAATCATTGGATTAGTATTTGAAAAAACAAAATTCAAGCCAGGAAAACTTCACTCACAAAAGAAGATCTCAGTGTATTTAAAACCAGAAAGCCACAGAGATGCTTTTCGTTACTGTCTCGTATCTGCCTCTGATGAAGGACTTACTGTATAGGCAGAGAGAAAGCTGCCATCAGGAGGTGAGCTCTGGAAGTCAGCAGAGGCAGAATCCAGCAGGGTTGCTCAGCTGCCTGGAGCCAGCTCTGGCATCCAGGAAAGGAAGCTTCTGAGCAAGGTTACAACCCACACTACCTCCGCCCTGCTCCACGTAGCCCTGTACATGGCCCTCCTTAGAGTCATGCAAGTAAAGATAACAGATCTTAAACAACAATAATCAACTATAATTTTTTATTCTAATAATCAACTCTAATTATTTCAGCATGATCTTATGTTGTAGTAGATTATATTATTATTGGAAATTGACAGTTGGCAAGACTAAACAATTCCAAGTCACCCAGAGAGGAAGTATAGAAGGAATCTGAATATAGGAGGAGGCTGCTCCACAACTGATGCTTTTAACTTTCTATAACCTCACTGTGAAAGTAAGACAAAGAGTAATGTGTGCACTTTTCAACAAACTCCTGGTGTTTCTTTTAACTACTCCAGTTCTTTCCTTTCTAGCTTCGTCTCACTTTTTCCACTGTTTTCCCTCTTGAGGGAAGGAAAATAAGTGTAATAACTTCTAATCAAGGCAGAGACTATTTGTGCCTTGTTCGTAGCATATCTGTATTACTTACCAGAGTATATATCAAGTCCATTTTTACTTATGAACAAGTTAGGGAGAAATATTGCACAATAAATACATTTGTATTTCTATTATTGCTAAGCATGATGGAAAACAAATAGCCTCATTTAAAAATAAAAGTATCTTAATTTTATATAAATCACAATATATTTTATATAAGCACACACAACAGTACTTACAATTTAGAGTGGAATACGAATTCCAAATAATTAATGCAGAGAAAAAGGTGGGCTAGGAGATCACAGTGGAGGTGCAGGTAGAGATCTACTTATTATGGAGAGAGACAGTTTTTTGGAGTTGGTATTTGATAAGGACCATGAAGCATGAGGCTTATAAGATAAGGCAGAAAGTTCTGTAATGCTGCCTGCCTAGGAGCCTCTAGCTTTTGGTTCCATTTTGCTTCCGTCTATCTTACATAGCTCTTGTCCTCTTAACTGCCATCAGAAGTGTTAAGTCAGTATAATAAAACACTCATGAATGCATATACAAAGCTATAGAAAGTAGGATATATTCCTTTATTTGTAGTCATTTTGCCAGAAATAGAGATGTGACACACATATAGTAAGAATAAAGGTAATGAAAACACCACAACAAAACATTAAAGTCTAAAACTTAGTTAATAACTGGTAATATTTTAGCTTTGCTACATCTATTTCTTTTAAGAAACTAAACTAAAATGGGAAAACCCTTTGGAGAATTTGGTACATTAAAGCCAGATGAGAATATATGTCTCATTTTTCTCAAACAAAAGAAAATGCACCTCAAAAACTCCAAAGAAAATGAGTGTACCAGAAGAGCTATCCTGTGTCTGCTTCCTAGCTTAGTACAATTATGCCTTAGTCAGTTGTTCAGAGTACAACGCATGTAAGAAAGGATGTATTTTGTTACCCTTAAATACGTGAAATTTACAATGCCTCAGCCAAACAATTCTAATAGCATTACTACCAAAGAAGTAGATTACACTTCACAGGATAAATGCAGGCTCTACTCACAGCAAGCTGTGTACTGAAAGACATAATCATCCTCGATCTTCATAGTACCTAGATGTCTAGTAGACAGGTGGTGTGTCAAGTGCTCCAGGTTGAGAAGTTGGTCCAGTAACAAAGTATAGGCAGCTGAAGCTCCATTCTCTCTCTCAACTGCTGTCATGTAACACAGCGTCCACAACTCTGCCTGGGATCCCCGCAGATCTTCCCCTTGGGAGGGTTCACCCTCTGCACCCCATTCTGGTAGAAAGAGTACTAAAACTGCCCATTCCCAAGTTAGAATACAATGTGTGTCAAGAAAGGACTTATTTCTTATGTCTTAAATGCATTAAATTTGCCCCTGTCAGTGCTACACTTAAGTAAAAGATCCTGGATTGAAGGCAAGAAAATCAGGTGATCTTTCTGTCTGATTTTAGAGGCTGCAACAGCAGTACCATGTTGATCTGAGCTTGACTGAGTTTAAAGTTCAGGAGAAAACTATAGATCTTTCCCGTGCTGAGATCTGGAGAATGTGGCAGGGTCATTTTGAATCTGTCCCGCTTTTCAATGCTTTTGCATATCTCAGAGGCCTTGCTCTGTCCTTTGTTCCAATTAATCCAGTTTATGGGCCTCCAATTAATGGCCTCCAATTAATCCAGTTATTACTAAGAAACTCTGATGTCCACAATGGAGACTATTCCCTTAGGCAACGATATGCTTAAGAAACAACCTTTTCTGGGATTTAACTAAGAATATCACACTTGAGTTTGTGACTTTAATGCATAACTGCACCACTCAATTCCACACTAAAAGAAATTAATTAATCATTCTATTATCTGGTGTAGCCTACCAAGATTTTTAGGATGCCTATGGAGATATTTCATGTATGTTTTTAACTGCTTCAGAACCACATTTTTCTTTAGATTAATGTAATTCTGGAAATAGTGAAAACAGTTAAGTTCTCTACAGACATGGGCTTTTTGAATCATTGATTCAAAGTAAGCATTATTACCTCAATTTTTAAACAAAAGCATTAACAAACTTTGTTTTCACTGAAACAAGGTAAACTATTAGTATATATTAAACAAATTAGCATATTTTGAAATATATTTAAAACAACAGAACATACGTTTTGGAGAAATATTTAAATTTCTCCTTACTTCCTATTTATGTCCCTTCTATTTGTTCTTTATTTGTTGTGTTTCTCATATAAGGGAAAACATGCAATATTTGAGCTGGTGTGCCTGACTTGTTTTTTTCAACATTATGTTCTCAAGTTGCATCCATTTACCTATGAACTGTCTTGGACTACTTCCAAGATAACAATACACAGTGTGGTAATTAATGCTATTTTTGCACTGTTTAGTTATGAAATTTTGTTTCATTTTTTTTCATAAAAAGAGAGAAAAGGCATTAAAGTTTGAAGAGAATAAGAACCTGTGAGGGCCTTTCAGTTTGTCAACACAAAGTCCTGCCAGATCTCGAAATCAGATGGAGTTGACTGCAACCAATACTCTGTCTACTCTACTTTGTATGTGACCTGATCACTGATCTAATGTATTTGTACTATTTTTTAAAGGCCAGATAACTTGTAATCTGAGAAATACAACAATCTATTGTTAGGACTTACTTTGATTAGGTGCCCAAGAAGTTCAAGTAAATGAAAATTTTTACTACAAGGGGCTCTACAACAAGAAAAAACGTGCCACGGAACCTAGGAAAGTCCTGCTTTTTTCCCAGTACTATCTCTTACTGAGTCACTTAAAATACATGAAATATGTCAGAAAAAGACCCACCTCAAAAATGCCAATGTGTACATACATGTATGTGTACACATACATACATATATTGTTATATCTATATTTTTTATTCTTATACCTTACCGCATCTTAAGAAAGCAATTTAAAATAAAATTATATGACTTGGTAGAATGGAATGCAGTACACGGAAAAACTTCTAAATATGTTTCAAAATTATATCCATGATTGGGCTCTTGAACTGATTCTGAGCCAGCTTCTAGGAAGAAACAGAGCTTTTCTTAGCACAGAAGTCTAAACAATGTATTCCTTAAGATGTTGCATTAGACAGACAGATTGATATAAAATACACAATACTTTTGGTTTTTTATTACCCATTAAACTTTTGTGTCCAAATAAGTGCTATTAGAGAAATGGCTCTTGAATACAAGTTTGCACCCTCCTAGTACTTTAACAGGTTACTCTTCCTTCTCTTTTAACCGCTTCCCTGTCATTTATGTACCACTATATATCATACTGCTTGCCAGAGTACCTTCTAATCATAAGGTAAAATCAAAACTCCATAGCTTACACCATAACTTGTGTCACTGTTGATTGCACTCAGTCTTGCTTTTTGGATACCACAGAAAGCTAAGCTGAATTCTCCCCTTATGAATATCTCAGGTTTCTCCATGAGAGTTCACACCTGGATATATGCTCCATTCTCTGCAATAATGTTTTTTTCTCTCCTTCTCCCCACCTTTTTCTCATACATCCTTCAAACCTAATTAAAATGCCACCTTCTCAAAAAAGTACCCTTGGCTTTGCCAGCAGATGCCATCACTGCCCTCGCTGCATTCTCAGATCACACTTGCCTGCTGTGCAGCAAGCCCTGTGGTGATCACAGAGCCTACGTGACATCTTCTAGTGCACAATCCTCTGTGCCCTGTGGACAACTCATAATTATTTACTGTATTAAGACATTCAAACATTTTGTAGTAAATGCAGCATTAAAGTTTAAACTGCTATATTTCAATAACTTCTGATTTAGAAAATACAACCAGGAATTTGTGAAAGTGAGCTTTTTGTGAGGTGCAAGAGATTGCCTTGATGTGACTTAATGATCAAATTCCAGATGAGTAGGAGAGTAAGAGGATGAAAACTGTGTAAATGATTTCCTCTATCATTTATCTCAGCTGAGTACTTGATGGGAACTGACGAGTAAACCACTGGATGTTGCCCTCTCGAGCTGCAGCCTCTGATGAAGACCAAGACGTGAGGACTCTCTAGTACTGGCTGATTGTGAACACTTCTGCTGAGTAATCAGCAGAACAGATGGCATGTTTGGCATCAAAGGAGCTCAACCAGAACCTAGCACGATGCCTGCCAAAAGATGTGCTCAATAAATGTTCTTGCTATGACTGCCATCCCTACTGGAAATGGGAGATTACATCAACTTTACCTGGAGGTGAGCCATCTAAACCCTG